CCTAGTACTGGTAAATGAATTCAGCAAAGTCAGGATACAAAATTAATATACACAAACCAGTAGCTCTGCTATACACAGAACAGTGACCAAATGGAGAATCAAATCGAGAATTCAACCCCTTTTACAATAGGTGCAAAATAAAATAAAATATTTCAAAATATACTTAAGAAGATGAAAGACCTCTACAAGGAAAAGTACAAAACACTGCTGAAACAAATCACAGATGATACAAACAAATGGAAACACAGCTAATGCTCATGATGGGTAGAATCAATACTGTGAAAATGACCATACTGCCAAAAGCAATCTACAAATTCAATGCAATTCCTATTATACCATCATCAAATTCAACGCAATTTCCATCAAAATACCATCATCGTTCTTACCAGAACTAGAAAAAAGCATCCTAAAATTCACATGAAACCAAAAAAAAAAGCCCTCACAGCCAAAGCAAGACTAAGCAAAAAGAACAAATCTGGGGGTCTTACATTACCTGACTTGAAACTATAAGACTATAGTCACCAAAACAGCATAGTACTGGTATAAAAACAGACATTTATACCAATAAAACAGAATAGAGAACCCAGAAATAAAGCCAAATACTTATGGTCAACTGATCTTCGACAAAGCAAACAAAGACATAAAGTGAGGAAAGAACATTCAACAAACGGTGCTGGGATAATGCAAGCCACATGTACAATCATGAAACTGGATCCTCGTCTCTTACCTTATACAAAAATCAACCCAGATGGATCAAAAACCTAAATCTACAACCTGAAACAATAAAAATTCTAGAAGATAACATTGGAAAAATTCTTCTAGACGATGCCTTAAGCAAAGACTTCATAACCAAGAACCCAAAAGCAATCGCAACAAAAATAAAGATAAATAGATAGGACTTAATTAAACTAAAAAGCTTCTGCACAGCAAAAGAAATAATCAATAGAGTAAACAGAAAACCCACAGAGTGGGAGAAAATCTTCATACTCTATACATCCAACAAAGGACTAATATCCAGAATCTACAGGGAACTTGAATCAGCAAGAAAAAACAAATAAGTGGCCTAAGGACATGAATAGACAATTCTCAAAAGAAGATATACAAATGGCCAACAAACATATGAAAAAAATGCTCAGCATCACTAATTATCAGGAAAATGTTAAGTCAAAACCACAATATGATACCACCTTACTCCTGTAAGAATGGCCAAAATCAAAAAACAAGGATGCCTTCTCTCACCACTCCTATTCAATATACTGTTGGAAGTTCTAGCCAGAGCAATCAGGCAAGAAAAATAAAGGGTATTCAATTAGGAAAGGAGGAAGTCAAATTATCTCTATTTGCAGATGACATGATTGCATATTTAGAAGACCCCATCGTCTCAACCCAAAATCTCCTGAAACTGATAAGCAGCTTCAGCAAAGTTTTAGGATACAAAATCACTGTGCAGAAATCAAAAGCATTCCTATACACCAACAACAGACTTAAAGAGAACCAAATCAAGAACAAACTGCCATTCACAATCACTACAAAGAGAATAAAAGACCTAGGAACACAACTAACAAAAGATGTAAAGGACCTCTTACAGGAGAACTACAAACCACTGCTCAAGGAAATCAGAGAGGACACAAAGATATGGAGAAACATTCCATGATCACGGTTAGGAAGAATCAATATTATGAAAATGGCCATACTGACCAAAGTAATTTATAGATTCAATGTTATCCCCATCAAACTACCTAGGATCCTCTTCACAGAACTGGAAAAAACCACCTTAAACTTCATATAGTTTAAAAAAGAGCCCACATAGCCAAGTCAATTCTAAGCAAAAAAGAACACAGAGGGAGGCATCACACTCCCGGACTTCAAACTATACTACAAGGCTACAGTAATCAAAACAGCATGATACTGGTACCAAAGCAGAGATATAGACCAATGGAACAGAACAGAGGCATCGGAGGCAACACAACATATCTACAACCATACAATCTTTGATAAACCTGACAAAAACAAGCAATGGGGAAAGGATTCCCTGTTTAATAAATGGTATTGGGAAAACTGGCTAGCCATGTGCAGAAAGCAGAAACTGAACCCCTTCCCGACACCTTACACTAAAATTAACTCCAGATGGATTAAAGACTTAAACATAACACCTGACACCATAAAAACCCTAGAAGAAAATCTAGGCAAAACCATTCCGGACATAAGCATAGACAAGGACTTCATGACAAAAACACCAAGAGCATTGACAACAAAAGCCGAAATAAGACAAATGGGATCTAATTAAACTCCAGAGCTTCTGTACAGCAAAAGAAACAATCATTAGAGTGAAATAGCAACCAACAGAATGGGAAAACATTTTTGCAATCTACCCATCTGACAAAGGGTTAATATCTAGAATCTACAAAGAACTGAAACGATTTACAAGAAAAAAAGAGACCCATTCACAAGTGGGCAAGGGACACGAACGACACTTTTCAAAAGAAGACATATATGAGGCCAAGAAACATATGAAAAAATGTTCATCATCACTGGTCATTAGAGAAATGCAAATCAAAACCACACTGAGATACCATCTCACACCAGTTAGAATGGCGATCATTAAAAAATCTGGAGACAACAGATGCTGGAGAGGATGTAGAGAAATAGGAACACTTTTACACTGTTGGTGAGTGTGTAAATTAGTTCAACCATTGTGGAAGTCAGTGTGGCAGTTCCTCAAGGACCTAGAAATAGAAATTCCACTTGACCCGGCAATCCCATTACTGTGTATATATCCAAAGGATTATAAATCGTTCCATTATGAAGACACATATGTTCATTGCAGCACTGTTTACAATAGCAAAGACCTGGAACCAACCCAAATGCCCATAAATAACAGACTGGATAAAGTAAATGCGGCACACCATGGAATACTACGCAGCCATAACAAACAATGTGTTCATGTCCTTTGTAGGGACATGGATAAACCTGGAAACCATCATTCTCAGCAAACCAACACAAAAACACAAATTCAAACACTGCATGTTCTCACTCACAGGCGAGTGAACAATGAGAACACATGAACACAGGGAGGGGAGCATCATACACTGGGAACTATTGTGGGGGACTTGGGGAGGGACAGCAGCAGGTAGGGAGGTTGGATAGGGATAACATGGGGAGAAATGCCAGATACAGGTGACGGGGGATGGAGGCAGCAAACCACATTGCCATGTATGTACATAATCCTGCAATAATCCTGCATGATCTGCATATGTACCCCAGAACCTAAAGTGCAATAAAATATACATATATAAAAAAAATAATATTTATTAAAACTGCAAAAAAAAAAAAAACACAGGAATAAAGTCATTTTAAAAGGCAAGCTATTGGAGTAATAGGCAAACTATTGGAGTAATAAGAATAGGCCATAAGGGGTCAGGAGCAGTGGCTCATGCCTGTAATCCCAGCAATTTGGGGTGCCAAGGTGGGAAGACTGAGACCAGGAATTCAAGACCTGCCTGGAAAACAGAGGGAGTCCCCATCTCTACATATAATAAAAAAAAATTAGTTGCGCACGGTGGCATATGCCTGTAGTCCCAGCTATTCAGGAGGCTGAGGTGGGAGGATGTCTTGACTCCCCAGAACTCAAAGCTGTAGTGAGCTGTGATCATGCCACTGCACTCCAACCTGGGTGACAGAGCATGACCCTATCTCAAAAAGAAAAAAAAGAATGGACTACAAGGGATAGGTGTGGCACTTAGTTTAGTATATATTTTAGTATAGTTCTGACTTCTAAAACTACAGTAGTAAATTCACAGACTTAGAAAAAGATTCTGAATCAGCAAGTATGGGGGAGGACCCAAAATGAAATATAAAGAGAAACAAACGTATCTAACTATATGAAAAACATGAATCACATAACCACATGGAAAGAGGGGAAAAAATACTACTTACATATTCACATAGTCTCAAAGTATCTTCCCATATACTATTTATTAAACGCAAAAAGAAAAATAGTAACTTTACAAAGGAGAATTCTTTGTAGGTCCAACCTTTGCAACCTAAGAACTTTGAAAAACAGTATTTTGACAATATATAATAAGACAAAAGAACAATATGTAAATACTATCCTCTGGTTAGTACGGTTTTCTTCCTCACAGGCGTACAAATTATCAATTCCCAAACTATTCTATGTGTACTGAGTGTATGGGAGTACACATATCTATGTGTGTGCACAAATGTATGTATGTGTTTGCATGTGTATTTTGTAAAGAATGAAAGCCCAGATTTCTCACTATCTAAGAAAGGAGTTAAACAGAGAACAGATGGAATGCTAGAAAGAACACTGTGTTGCACCGACATTGGAGGTATCAGTCTGAACTCAGTTTTAATACATGTACACATAGATAGATATAGATATGTGTATGCATACAAATATTTGCTAGCTCTGTCTACTGAGAGGGTCTAAACACAACGGCATCCCAGCACCAAAGAGAACACCTACGCCCTAGATTTTGGTTTCTAAATGCCATTCTCCAATTTAAAAAAAAAAAAAAAGAACACACTTTTCAAATAATGGCTGGTATGTGGAAAGTATAAGAAAATCCTTATTTTGTATTGCCATAAAGTAAGGAAGTATGTGGAAAAAAATACGGAAATGTTCAAGAGACATATACATCAACTTGAAGGAACTCACACTGGTCAAACTTGAGGGCTCACACCTGTAATCCCAGCACTTTGGGAGGCCAAGGCAGGTGGATCGCTTGAGCCCAGGAGTTGGAGACTAACCTGGCCAACATGGTAAAACCCTGTCTCTACTAAAAATACAAAGATGAGCCGGGTGTGGTGAACACACTTGTAATCTCAGCTACTCAAAAGGCTGAGGCAGGATAATCCCTTGAACCCAGGAAGTGGAGGTTGCAGTGAGCCAAGACTGTGTCACTGCACTCCAGCCTGGGTGACAAAGCAAGACTCCTTCTCAAAAAAATAAAAATAAAAAGTAAATAAATTTTGAGGGGAACATCACACACTGGGGTCTGTCAGAGGATGTGGGGCTAGGGAAGGGATAGCATTAGCAGAAATATCTAAAGTAGATAACAGAGTGATGGATGCAGCAAACCACTACGGCACACGTATACCACAAACCTCAACATTCTGCACATGTACCCCGAACTTGAAGTATAATAAATAAAAAACCAGAAAAAAAAAATTTTGGAACACCAATTATCAAAATAGGCTGGGCACAGTGGCTCACACCTTTAATCCTAGCACTTTGAAAGGCTGAGGTAGACAGATCACCTGAGATCAGGAGTTCAAGACCAGCCTGGCCAACATGGTGAAACCCTGTCTCTACTAACAATACGAAAATTAGCCAGACATGGTGGCAGGCACCTGTAATCCCAGCTACTCGGGAGGCTGAGGCAGGAGAATTGCTTGAACCTGGGAGGCGCAGGTTGCAGTAAGTGGAGATTGTGCCACGGCACTTCAGCCTGCGTAACAGAGCAAGACTCTGTCTCAAATAAATAAATCAAAATAAATAATGATAGTAAAAGATCATATGCCTAGAGTAAATTAGAATCCATAAATCCACAGTAATATAAATAACTGAATACATTAATGCAAAAATGGGAAAGTTCTTTCTTTTTTTTTTTTTTGAAACGGAGTTTCGCTTTTGTTACCGAGGCTGGAGTGCAATGGCGCGATCTCGGCTCACCGCAACCTCCGCCTCCGGGGTTCAGGCAATTCTCCTGCCTCAACCTCCTGAGTAGCTGGGATTACAGGCATGTGCCACCATGCCCAGCTAATTTTTTGTATTTTTAGTAGAGATGGGGTTTTACCATGTTGACCAGGATGGTCTCGATCTGTTGACCTCAATGATCCACCCGCCTCGGCCTCCCAAAGTGCTGGGATTACAGGCTTGAGTCACCGCGCCCGGCCAGAAAGTTCTTTCTTAAAGCAAAATTCCAAGTAATTAGAAGGAATGATTAAAACAGAAAAATCACCATTTGGCAAATGTCACAGTAATAATTATTGCAGACAAGAATCATCAGTGAACAAAACTATGATGAGAAATAAAATATTCACATAATCTAAAGCATGTCCCCATATAAGATTTGTTGAACACAAAGAGTAGCTTTGCAAAGGAGAACTACAGCAGGCACCAGCTAGAACAAGTGATCAACATTAACAGCACCAGTAACACAGGATATTCACATCACGTCCTTCATGGTATGATGCTCCTGGAAGAACACAGCATCATTTCTGTGGTATTCTTGCTAAAAAAAAAACACATAACCTGAATTTAATCAAACATCAAACAAGACCAAATTTGGGACATTCTATCAAACAACCTTCAAAAATGGCAAGATGATAAAAAGCAAAGAAAAACCAGGGACCTGTCCAAATTAAAGGAGACATGAAGCTACCTGCAAAAGTTCATCCTGGAATAAATACTAAAATCAGGGAAATTAGCAGACAATTAATGAATTGTAAATAGTATGTACATTAAATAATATTATTTGAATCAGTGTTAAATTCCTGATTTTGACAACTGTACTGTAGTTATGTAAAATGTTAATGTTTGGGGAATCCGAATAAGGTACATACAGGAATTATTTGTACTATGTTTGGCACTGTTTTCTAAGTATAAAATAATTCAAACTAAAAAGTTGATGAAATAAAAATAAAACTCATCCAACGCCACAAATGTCCAATGCAGAGCTGGGACAATCTGGTTCCATTGCACCTCAGGACCACTCAGCACTATCAAGGACTATCTCAGGTGCCAGGAACTATTCTAAACGACCTACACATAGTAACATGCAGGTATTATTAGCATCATCCTCCTCATCAGCATCTCCGTCTTCATGAGGCAGAGAAGGGTTAGGAAATGTTTCCGACATCATACATCTAGTGAGTAGTAAGACCACAAGACTGAATACTAGTCTGACCCCAAAGTCCATGATTTCAGATTCTTAACTAATATCCTATAAAACAGATGCTATGAAATGAGAACAATAAGAAATTCAGAGGTCTTATTTATTTAAATCAGTGTTAATTTCCTGATTTTGACAATTGTACTGTAAGTATGTAAAATGTTAATATTTGAATGCAACATTTAAATTTAAAAATTAAAAATGACTGTCAAATTAAAATATTTAATATAAGATTAGAAGTCAAGATCATGTTTCAAATTTGAATTAAAAAATTAGAGAATGATAAAAGCAGAGATAATAAAATATAAAGAATCCATCAATTATACTTCAATAAAACTGGAAAAATAAAAGAGAATCAATCCAGCAGATCTATGAGAATGGCTAACAGGATTCCCAGAAGGAGAGACAAATAATGTAGTGAATAGTAACTCAGAAGAGGCCGAGGCAGGTGGATGACCTGAGGTCAGGAGTTCAAGACCAGCCTGGCCAAGATGGTGAAACCCCGTCTCTACTAAAAATACAAAGAAATTAGCTGGGCGTGGTGGCAGGCGCCTGTAATCCCAGCTACTAGAGAGGCTGAGGCAGGAGAATTGCTTACACCCAGGAAGCGGAGGTTGCAATGAGCTGAGACCACACCACTGCCCTCTAGCCCGGGCAACAGAATGAGACTCTGTCTCAAAAATGAAAACGAAAGAAGAATGGTTATTAAATTCTCCAGTACAAGTGAAACAGAAGTACACAAACTGAAAGTTTCTACTATGAACAATGAAAAAGTATCCAGGGGAAAACGAGACACAGTCCTCATTGTCAGAACTCAGACTACAAGGATAAAAAGGAGAGCCTAAAAGTTTCCAGGGGAAAAAAAAAAGACACGAAATTAAAATAGGTCACCAACAAAAGAATAAGAATCAGAAGATTTCTCTTCAGCAACATGAGATGATAAAAACAGGACGGCTATTAAGATTCCAAAGAAAAATAATTTTCAACTTAGAACTGAACTGTCAAACATGAAGGCACAATGCAAACATTTTTTTGAAAAAACACAAGGGCTCAAAAAATTTATTTCCCATTAATCCCTCATTTTATTTCAAGGAACATAATGTATTATACATTTATATTCATTCTTTCTTCCTTAAAGTAATATGGCAATATATTTCAACAAAAGATTTAAAAAAGAAAACATGTATATTTAGAAAATAGTGGTCCAACTGAAAGAGCGGTAAATCCAATGTTGACAAAGCTGTGCAGCAAACCCAACAGACGGCAGCTGAAAATGGAGTAAGGAGATAGAGGGATCCAGGATAAAAGGAAAGTTCCATGCAACAAATAGTGAGATTGAGATTTAGGGGTGGAGGGAAGAATGATGATATGGAAAATAAATATAATGCAAGAAAAAGCAGGGAGACAAAAAGCAGCTAAAAACTCCAGGAAATAGAAAAACCTACAAAATGGAGCAATGATTCAAATGTGAAACAACTAATCCAAACTAGAACAACTAGTCAAAATCAGAATCAGAAAACAGTAGGTTTCGTGAAGATAAATGTAATGGGTTGTAAGCAATATAAAGAAAGATTGAGAAGCTTTTTTGAAAGGCTTAAGATTCTTCTGTCTAGTTTTTTTTTAAGCACCAGAAACTCAAGAAAAAACAAAAAGTTATTTCAAACCTATAATCCCCACATGAAGCAAACTAAAACAGACACAACTTTGAGCAACTGGCAGCATTCAGGAAACGGCTACCTATTTGAACTCTCTTGTGAGTAGCTCATGACACTGGAAATATAGGGAAGCAAACAGCTGTGCAGTGAACAGTATTTCCCTACTCACAATAATGCAAAAGCTGAATGTTATTTCTCGACAATTGGAATCAACCTGCAAATAGAGCATGGAAAACTTAATTTGATGATAGAATGGATAAAAATGTGATCAATCTTGACAGTGTCACAGTAAAACTACAGCCAGTTCAAGCTGGGAGTCAGAAAGGAGAAGAGAATGGAGAAGAATAGGTAGCAACGGTTGGGGAAAGAAGAACAGGTAATTACTACTTGTCATTATAAACCCTGTGGTTTCTCAGGCGTTATTTTAAGGAAAAATATTTTTTAATTTTTTTTTAAATATTTATTTCAGATAAAATTAATATTTCCATAATTAAGATAAAGCAAACATTCTTATCTTCAGTCCATTATTTAAGGTGATTTATACTATAAAATGACTTCCATGAATATTAGATTTCCTGAATGTCATTTGAGTATCTGCCTACATGCTTGTGGGAAGCTTCTGTAGCCTTTTCTTTGCAGGAATTCCAGTTTTTCTGAATTCTTCCCTTTCCTTCAGGTATTCCATTTTGCATTCTTCATAAAAGGCTGGATCAGTATAGTAAGCAGTTAGACATTCTTTCAATGCAGTTTTCTTTCCGGCATTTTATTACCATAAGAACTCCAGAGTCCTGGCAACATTTGGTAAAATCTTGAATTTGTTCGGAACACCTCTCTCTGGCCTTTTCTCTCATTTTTTTAGGGATCAAAACATCTTTTTCGACATGTCTGAGATGCTGCTCTGCGGGGTCAAGCGCCATCTCGGCGGGCGGTGAAGAAGGCAGCCGCTTAGCGGCTCCGAGGGCAAGCGGGGAGGGGCTTTTTAATTTTTTAAAGAGAAAGTTGGTACCGCTGGCTAATGCTACAAAGGGGTCAAGAAAAAAGGAGTTAGATTTGGCCTGAAGATCATGGTGACACTGGAAAGGACCATTTCAGTGGCCTATTTGAATGAGATTCAGAGTACAGTGAGCTGGAGAATGAAAGGGAAATGAAGACCTAAAGAGAACAATTATACCCAGCAGAATGCCAAGGAAAGGAAAGAGGAGAAAGCTTACTAACAGGAGGAATTAAAAGCAAAGGGAAGCTTGCTGTTGCTACTTTTATTTATAAAGAAGAAATTTGAGCATATTTTTTACGTGAATGAGGTGAAAAGGCGATGAAATCCAGAAGACAGGATGAGGAGTCAAACTCAGACAAAAGAAAGGATATCTACCATTTCGAAAAAAGAAATGATGTGGGGTAGACTAGAGGAGAAGGCAGAAAACTGGCAGTATTACAGAGCTTCTGTCCTCTAAAATGATTAAAGCAAGAGCTAGAAAAGCCTACAGGGTTGGTGATTTCAGAGAGCAGAACAAGAAAACCCAAAAGGATTGGTTCTTGGGTAAACGGACTAAGCTGACAAGACGAGTAGTATGGTTGAAAGCACATTTATATTTGAAAATCATGTCATTTTGCCTCATCTGTTGGTTGAATTACTCTTCATGAAAATCTTTTAAAGTAACCTGGTCTCTGGATCTAAGAGTATCTCTGAAGAATGATCAAGGAAAACAAAGTGTTGCTTATTTACACAGGGTCCTACAGCAAGTTAGTATCAAGGTAATAACAACAGTGACAGCTGTGTAGTATCAAGGTAGTAACAACAGTGACAGCTGTGTACCATCTCATTTTAAGTCCTTCTAAAGCTACAGGATGAAAGGAACTTCTGCTCATTTGAGACCCAAACACTTTTTTTTTTGAGATGGAGTCTTGCTCTCTCACCAGGCTGGAGTGAGGTGACACTATCTAGGTTCACTGCAACCTCTGCCTCCTTGGTTCAAGGGATTCTCATGCCTCAGCCTCTGGAGTAGCTGGGATTATAGGCACACACCACCATGCCCCACTAATTTTTGTATTTTTTGTAGTGATGGGGTTTCACCATGTTGGCTGGGATGGTCTCGATCTCCTGACCTTGTAATCCGCCCGCCTCCGCCTCCCAAAGTTCTGAGATTTACAGGCATGAGCCAGCACGCCCCGCCAACATTTCTAAACAACAGCAACATATTTCAATCAACCAGCATTTATTAATATAACATATGCAATTCTCACAATCCTACACAGGAAGTACAGTGACTTGTACTTTACAGATAACAGAGATTCTGTGTCTCCTCTGTCGCCTAAAGTAACTGAGCCAAGATTCTAGCCCAAAGCTGTTAGATTCCAAAGTATATATGCCATGTGTAAAGCACATGCATTAAAACCAAATCTGAAGTGTCTTTTGGCCACTCTCAGTCCACTGCAAGTCCATCTGGAAAAAAAATCAGATAGGATAACTTTGAATACATGAAAATTAGCTGAGATTTAATTCACTGATCCAAACCTGGGTGATCAATGTTAAAATGTGCCAAAATCAGTGCTTTAAATTTTGGGAAAAATCTAATAGCATTCTCTTCGCTATGATCACAAATTAAGACCACTACACCCAGCATCTAAAACTACTTTTTCACCTGTGTTCTTCCATTAATTAATCTAATTAACATGGTACATTGTTATTTTGGCTACTAAATATGACAAATAGAAAGCCATGTTTATGACAAATTTTATAACTATACTTTGAGTAAGTAGATCAAATGTATATACAAATTAGCAAATAAATTGGTGACTTTATACTGTGGATGCCTTAGCAAAATTCACCCATGCTTTTTGCTTCTTTTTTTATTTCCGTTAGTAACCTTCCACGTCACAGCAATTTCTCCTCTGGGCATTTATGCTGAGGAAACAGTGGTATGTTACTCCGTGACAGCCTTGCCCTAAGTAACCTGAAGTTGCAGATAGACTTTAATAAAATGCGAGTATGTTTCTCCTCCAAAGATTGGATTTTAAATTATTATACTCAAAGCCCTAATTTTAAGACTATAAAGTTCGATGACTTCATTAAAAATAAAACAATAGCTGATGATGTTTTGAAGCCAACTGACCAGTTTTTAAAAGTCCTGGGACTAAAACTAAATCTGTGATGACTACAGATAGACATGGGTCACTGCTAAGGTAGCCCCAGCTTGGGAACACTGGGATGTTAGGAAAAAACGCTAGTGCGCTTACAGGGAAGGATTTATTGGGCAGTTTCCACTGTGTGTCCTGGATTACTGGAACATGAGACAGTCCAGCTCTACTGTAACCACCATTGTTTACAATTCCTGAGGCAATTTGAAACTCCACGATTTCAACAATGGCATCAACTGACTACAAAGTTTTGAGTAATGTAATCACAGTGATTTATCACTTCACATGAATGTGTTTCTAGCTCATAAACAGGCTACCCGTTACCCATTTTATCTCACACATAACTGAAATAATGAATGTACAGTTTAGTAATGCTCTGCATTAAAAATTAGAAAGCAAGTTTTTAGCGTTGAAATACAATTTTACATCCATCATCTCATTTAATCCCAAACCACTTTATTAGTCTACAATCATTGGCATTCTACTTATTCCTGTACTTGGTAAGCCTTACTCATTGGTCTTACCCTTCTCTTTATTGTGTGTGTTTTGTTGTTGCTGTTTTTGCCTTTGTTTTGAGACAAGGTCTCGCTCTGTTGTCCAGGCTGGAGTGCAATGACACGATCATGATCATAGCTCACTGCCTCCATCTCCCAGGCCCAAGTGTTCCTCCTGTCTCAGCCTCATGAGTAGCTGGGACCACAAGTGTCTGCCACTATGCCCAGCTAATTTCCTTGTATTTTTGTAGAGACTGGGGTCTTGTTATGCTGCCCAGGCTGGTCTCGAACTGAATGCAAGCAATCTTCCTACCTCAGGCTCCCAAAGTGCTGGGATTACAGGTGTGAGCCACCACACCTGGCCTGGTGTTAACCTTGTCTTCACAAGTCTTTCTTTCATTACTGCTTATTCATATACACCCTCTGATGCATCTTTTCAGCTAACATTTCTCTGCTTTCCTTCTGTAGCGGCTCACCCACTCCTAGGTTATGTTAAAACTCTGTTTATTATTCTGACCTATACTTTGGACTATACATTCTTACCTTGACCATTTCTATCTTATCAAAATCCAAATTTCACTTCTAAGATTAGCTTTCTTCTGTTACTCTAATGTAATTGCTCTGTATTTTTACACATGAACTGCTTTGCCTTAGTTCTCTGTTAAAACCTTCTCTAAGAGTTATCAATAACATCGGTCTCATTCAAGTTTTTGCTTCTAAGGTCTTAGCAATATATTTTATTACACCCAAACTTTTCATTTTCTATAAGGTTCTACTCTCTGATTACTCACTTGGCTCTTTTCTTTCCCATCTTTACCCTGGTTTTTAGCTGCTCAAATTTTCCCGTTACATCCTGTTCTTCTTCAACCTATCCACTTAAAAATTCTGATTTTTGGCCGGGCGCAGTGGCTCACGCCTGTAATCCCAGAACTTTGGGATTACAGAGTGATTGAGACCATCCTGGCCAACATGGTGAAATCCTGTCTCTACTAAATATACAAAAAATTAGCTGGGCATTGTGGCACGCATCATAGTCCCAGCTACTCAGGAGACGGAGGCTCCTGAGGAGAATCACTTGAACCCAGGAGGCGGAGGTTGTAGTAAGCTGAGATCGCACCATTGCATGCCAGCCTGGCAACAGAATGAGACTCTGATCCAAAAAAAAAAAAAATCCTGATTTTTGAGAAATTTACCTAAATTTTATTTCCCTTCTATTTTCTAATTTATTTATTCACTGTACCATTGAGGAAACTGAAATTAAGCAGAATTACTAATCCTGTCAACTAAAAAGTTTAGAATAAACATATACAAAAATGTAAAATAAAAGAAAAAAACAGGCTGGGCGCAGTGACTCACCTGTAATCCCAGCACTCTGAAAGGGCCAAGTGGGCGGATCACCTTAGGTCGAGAGTTCGAGACCAGCCTGGCCAACATGGTGAAACCCCATCTCTACTAAAAATACAAAATTAGCCAGGCATGGTAGCAAATACCTATAATCCCATCTACTCAGGAGGCTGAGGCAGGAGAATCCCTTGAACCAGGGAGACAGAGGTTGCAGTGAGCCAAGATCATAGCATTGCAATCCAGCCTGGGCAATAAGAGTGAAATTCCGTCCCAAAAAACAAATAAATATTCATTCTGCTTATCTAGTTTTAGCGTTATAATCCAATGGCCTTGTGTCAAACTGACTTTCGTCAGTAGCACCCTTCAAAGTCTATGAAATCAAAAAGTTACATTAGGAGACAAAAGAAATAAGGCATATGTATAATCCATGCACATGTTAAAATTACACACTGCCCAAGAGTTTTCCCTCATAAAAGTAAACAACTCTTCTAAAAGAGAATTATAGGCTGGGCATGGTAGCTCATGCCTATAACCCTAGCACTTTGGTAGACTGAATCTTGCCAAGATGGCGAACCTCCATCTCTACCAAAAAATACAAAAATTAGCTGGGTGTGCTGGTGAGCACCTGTAATCCCAGCTACTAGGGAGGCTGAAGCACGAGAAAAGCCTCAACCCAGGAGGCAGAGGCTGCAGTGAGACAAGATCACACCACTGCTCTCTAGCCCGGGCAACAGAGGGAGACTCGGTCTCAAAAAAATAAAGGCAATTACACATGTGTATAGCATACAAGTGGGTTTGCTCCCAAGTTAAAGATTTGTTACGGGCTTTATACAGCTAATAATTATAACTTTAGAACCCTGGCTTCTTTTTTCAAAGTGAGTCTTAGGGTATAATACTGAACATTCCACAGGAATAAATGAAGAGGCCTTTAGGAACCAATGATGACACATGTCAAGATCTGCGAGATAGAATTAACTCAGCTTTCTGTACCTGCGGGTAAAACAAACCCAAATAATGGGAACTTAAGGAAAGCAACACATTATGTCTTCCCCTAAGTACCAGAAAAGAACAACTGACCATCAGAATACTTCTGACAGACAACAGCAACATGATAATCAGCCTTTGGGATCAAAACGAAACAGAAAAGACTTAACACCCACAGTAAACAAAAACTTTAGGTTGGAGAAAGTTACAGTGGCACAACAGAAGAAATACCTGTGTAATAATCTTCTACCACACTCTTATTACTAGAGATTTTCACGCAGATAATAAATATCAAATCAATAATGACCTAGGAAGATACCATTCAGTGGGTTTTGTCCTTGATTATTTCCCAGGTCTCTTTTCTCCGAAAAATGAAATTATGTAACTTTATACAGACAAATATCTAGAATAAAAAGAAATACTGTACCCTCTCTTTCTAATCAAAGTTTAATTTTCCATTGTTCTTAGGTAATATTACCCTTTAAAATGGTCCTTTCCACTAGCTATTGAACATGGAGGTGAAAGCTTCAAATCTTAAAAAACAGTATTAGTTCACACTGACGGACTAAAATAAATCAGAGTATGCTTATTATGAATGAAGGACAGGGCTCAATACTCCAAAGTCATTTTATTCTCACTACAAAAAGATACCTGTGTTTTCCTTACCAGTGATAAAATATGTAAGAGTTAGAAGTCAAAAATGGAAAGCAGAAGAGTCGTGCACAGAGGTCCTTGAAATGACGCAAAATATATTTGCTTCTAAACAATTTTACATGGAATTAAGTTTGGTACATCATGGGTTTGTCTGTCTGTCTGAGACGAAGTCTCGCTCTGTCACCCAGGCTGCACATCATGTTTTACATACTTGTTCTTCTTAAGACTACAGGTTCAAATGCCAGTATAGATAATTTATATCTGCCTACAAAGCCTGGTAAGCTATCAAATGCCATGCAGCTTAGTGTAGGAGGTTGAGACCCATTCTACAAAAAGTGATACTTATTTTTAGAGTAAAAACATAAGGTTTTTAATAAAACAAATTAATACTTAGTTGTTCTCTAAGCCATCCTGAAATTCCCAGGCACAGTCATATCTGGAGAAACAAATGCTAAATAGGAAGAGCCCTAAAATGTTCACCCTGCTAAATGCCTGGTTTTCTTTTCTCCCTTTACCTGATAATGAGCCTGGGCTTGCTGTGCAGAGTTCAAGGTGACATTGCAGAGTCTGCAGTACAGGGGCTTACATAGCTCCTCCAGGGCACAGTCTTGCTCCCCACCCTTCGAGAACTCTTCTTCCCCTGCAAGAGGCAAGGAAGCCTCCTGCCCAGACGGCTTCTGTGGTGGAAGCTGCAAGGTTCCTGCAGGCCTAGTGGCCACTGACATAGGAGGAGAGGATGCGGGCTGCTTAGGTGGAAGAAGCACAGCGTGCTGCAGGAGGATCATTGGGTAGGAAAGTCTTGGGCATAATCCAGTGGGTGATGAGAAG